ATCATAACTTGGGTTTGGAATCACCTCCAATCACAAAAATATTTAGTTACCCATGAAAAACCCAAAAAAAACAATTAAATCCTTACAATTCATTAATGAAAAATAAATTAGGGAAAATAAAAACTTATTGATAACTAGAATATCAATGGGTCTTCTTCTCCAAGCTAGTGACGCCTAGGCGTCCCCTTCTCTGCCCAAAAACAGATTTTGGCATCAAGTTTTCAGATATTGCACATCAAGTCCTCCAACTTTCAAAAGGTGTTAATCTTGGTCCCCAAACTTTGAAATTTTGCGTCTTTGATTCATTTTGCTCATTTCTCGCATAAATTCCTTCAATCATCATTCAAACTCGAGTTTTCACCTATAAAATAAAAATAACTAAATTAAGTTGCGTCTTTGGTTCTTTTTGTTCATTTCTCGCGTAAATTCTTTTAATCATCATTCAAACTTGGACTTTCACCTACACAATAAAAATAACTAAATTAAGTAATAAATTGATAATGGAAACTCACAAATATCTAAATTAATGGTCCGAATAAGTGCAAAAACCCGCACTTATCAGACAGTATAATGGCCGAAAAGTTGCAACAGATCCAAGAATATGATATTGTAAGTTTTCTAAATTGATTAGTTTAAAAAAATACTTTATTTTTAAATTTATTTATTTTAAGAAAATTTGTATACGAAATATTTTTTTTCGTGTACAATTTTAACTCCGTCTACGATAATTGTAGCGTTCCCAAATCCGAAAAAAAGTGGAGGGTTATAACTTTTATTTAATTTATAATACGTATAAATTGCACAAATTTTAAATTCTTTTTAAAAAATTAGATTTGTCACAAAAGAAACACAGAGTCGGCTTGGCTCAGGCCAAAAAAATCCCGAACCATTTTTGCTCGAATCGAGCCCAAGTTTCAAATTTCGGCTCGTGGCTCAATTCGATTAGTTGATATCCCTAGGTGCTTATCGGCAAGCCGTGGTCCCTCGGTCCACCTCAGTCCACTCCACGAAGCGCTTATCAGAAAACGTTAGTGTTAAAAGATATCATTTGTAACGCCCTTCAAGATCCGTCTAATATGACGGTCACGTTAACGGAAACCATCCATTTATCACTTTACTCTCTCTCCTCTGTTGTATCGTATTGGGGGAGAATTGCTTGCGAAGATCTTCACAGGTTTATTTTGCAGATTTCATAGCCCAACCCTTGTAGAAAATTTATTCTTTTTGAGATCCTTTTATTTAATTGTAGCCTTAATTTTTATTTTATTTTTTGCTTTTCAGCGTTTTTCTTCTTTTCTTTCTTTTTAGCCCTTAAAGTTTGTCCTGAATTTTTTTCTTTCTTTTCCCAGTTTGGATTGAAAGAAGTTGATTTATTTCACTTCCCACCTTGTAAACCAAAAATTCATCAAAACCAATATCGATTTTGAGTTTGAATCCTGAGTATATTTTTGGTATGGTAGTTTTGTAGGGTTTCTTCTAAAGGGGTTGTTGATTTTGGTGGGAATTCCAATAGGGTATCAAAACCATATGAATTTGAGTTTCAAGCTTGAGTATTTTTATGGTACGGCTGTTTTATAGTGTTTTTCTGTAAAGGGATTGTTGATATTGGTAGGGATATAGTTATTGGAGGAAAAAGATTTGGAGATGGGAGAAGATTTGTTGACAGGTTTAAGCTTTGACAATTATCATCCGTCAACATTCCTGTCCATGGATTCAAATGTTACCTCTCATGAGGAATCCAATCGGGAGATGAATAGGCAAGTTGTTCTTCCGGGGCCACCGGATATTAATCTCCCTTTATCCGTAGAGCGAAGTCCTCCTCCCCAGCAGTTACGGAACCATGATTCTTTTGATATACTGGATGTTGGCCTTGGACACCAAGTGAACGAATCTGATAAGCTTTTCGATTTGCCTAAAATTGGGCGAAAATGTGCCAAGAGATTGGATAGTGTTTGGGGTGCTTGGTTTTTCTTTAATTTCTACTTCAAGCCGGTTCTGAAGGAGAAGTCAAAGTGCAATGTGGTGAGGGATAGTAATGGGGTTTCGGGTTTTGATAAATCTGATCTCCAACTAGATATCTTTCTTGTGCAGCATGATATGGAGAATATGTATATGTGGGTTTTCAAAGAGAGACCGGAGAATGCACTTGGGAAGATGCAGTTGAGGAGTTATATGAATGGCCACTCACGACAGGGGGAACGTACATTTCCTTTCAGTGCTGATAAGGGTTTTGTGCGATCTCACAAAATGCAGCGTAAACACTACCGTGGGTTATCTAACCCGCAGTGTGTTCATGGGATTGAGTTGGTGCCATCACCCAATCTTACTAGTCTTGAGGAGGAGGATCAGAAGAAGTGGATTGAATTAACTGGTAGAGATTTAAATTTTTGTGTTCCGCCTGATGCAAAAGACTTCAGCTCATGGAGGAACCTCCCTAACACAGAATTTGAGCTTGAAAGGCCAATTCCTGCTCCGAAGAGCAATGCACACGCCCCTGCAAAGAAACTGCTAAACGGGTCAGGTTTGAATTTGTCGACTCAACATGTAAATAGCAATGGAATTGACATATCAAACAAGAAGAGGAAAGACCCCTTCTTACATGGAAATGATGAAGATTGTTGCTTGACTAATGATCTCAATACAGATTGCCATCAAAATGCTGAGCTTCATCCTATTGAACCTTCTTGGATGAGTGAGTTTTCCGGGGTGATGAGGAATGTATATGGTCCTGTTACGGGGGCTAAAACAATTTACGAGGATGAAGAAGGATACTTGATACTAATTACCTTGCCTTTTGCTGATCCAGAAAGGGTGAAAGTCCATTGGTGGAACAATCTCACACATGGAGTGCTCAAGATATCATCTGTGAGCACAGCCTGCATGCCTTTAGTTCAAAGAAATGATAGAACTTTCAAACTCACCGATCGAGCTCCAGAGCACTGTCCTCCCGGAGAATTCAAAAGGGAAATCCCACTTCCCACTAGGATTCCAGATGATGCCAAGCTAGAAGCATATTTTGACAAGAGTGGAACAATTCTTGAGGTTAAAGTGCCTAAATATCGTGTTGGACCACAGGAGCATGAGGTGCATGTTTGCCTTCGCCCTCCAAACGACTTGGCTCTGTCTTGAAGGAGTATTTATCAATTCAAAGAATTAAATTATCAGGGAAGATAGATGCAGACTACGTGGGCTATTCTACTTGTCTGAAGCCATAAATGATATTTCTTTCTGCATTTGGATAGCTAGCTATATTCTGGCATAGGTTTTGTGCTTTGATCCCAAATTGATAGGGACAAAGGTAAGAATATTGCAGCCTGACTTCTGGCTTTAATTAAATGAGGAGTTTTAGAATCAGCTCCGTGCCTTGCTATCTTATTAGTTATTATCAGGGTATTGGGAAGGATTTTTATTTATTGTTTATGAAATGTTCTGTGACACATCTTATTTTGTGATTCATGGGAATATAAACATGCCATTTGTGTAATTGGATATAACATTTATGAGAAGCTTCTTCATTTTTTATTGTAGAACTTAGAATATGGTACTTTTTAATAGAACAAAATCCCGGAAGGTGTCCTTTGGAGGGAAGCTCGTTCCGGGTGACTGAAGGCACACCACCTCAGATAGGAAGACATGTTCTTGGGGTTTAAAACAAAACACAAAGTTCCAATTTGAGTTCTCATAGGTCGAATTCTTCTAAAATATTTAATTTACCCATCTAGAGTTCTTATTAAGTCTATTTAACTAATTCAATTTCATATCTTTATGTGAATCAATTTTAGTTAAACAAAGTATTAGTTAAGAATTCATATTAGGCCACAATAATTAGTATAGGTATCTCTACATGTTATATTAAATTACCGAAGGTTAATACGTGGTCTAAATTTAATACTCACATTTCGATTCGTAATAGATACAGAAAATCATTGAACAATTGGCCAAAGAATTCAAAGTATTAAATTCATGAATAAAATCAACATATATGCATTTAAGGAACTAGAATCTTGAATCGCCCTAGTTATGAATTTAACTACTCATAATAATGAAAGAAAAAAAAAGTATAGAGTTCGTAATTGGATTTTAAAATCTTGATCATGGAAGGAATTGGATCTTGCACCAAGAATTTTCTTCAACTTTAAAAGTCTTTAAACCCCAACTTTTGCTCTTTGATCTTGATAATTTTGTGTTTTCTCCCCCAAATTGTATGGAACTCTCTCAAAACTGTCAAAAACTTGTTTTTATACTCTCACATTTGTATCGAATGTAGGATTTTTATAAACTTCAAAATTGGCCAAAAACATATCCTAGATACACCCAGAAGTCAAGGCGTCGTGATACTGTGTTGTGTGATTTGGTGGAGCCTCGGCACTATGATGGTAGCGCCACCTTTCAGGTGAAAATCTACAATGCACTCATTTAGTACTTTTATCATAACTTTCTTTCTTGATATTCGATTGAGGTAATTCAAATTGGGTTGTAAAGGTAACTCAAATGGCTACAATTTTACTAGAAATAGCTCTTCTCCAATTCGGTTGTAAAATTGGGTGTAAATTGATATCTCCAAAATCACTTTTGCACCCTTATTTACATCTCCATGGATCTAAATTCGAATTTGCATCTCTCCATTGGAGAGGTTTTTGGCCACTTCAGAGATCTAAGTAAAATTTAGATCTATTCACACCACGATTAGAGATGTTCTTAATTAGTTTTTTACTTTCCGATATGAGGAAGAAGAAGAACCACATGTTAGGTGTGCATATGTAAAACCGACTTTTAATCCACACATTTATACGCTTGTGGGAACCGTACTTTTAATATTGACCGGCATCTCGCGAATCATATAGATTGTCATTGTAAAACTTTTTCAGCTGTATCGCGCCAGTAGAGCAATAGAAGAAAAATGCTTTGCATTCCATTTAATATGTTGGATGACCCCAGGTTCTTTGACCTAGTTTGACCTCATCTTCTTCTCTGTTTAAGCCCCCGTTTGGCCCCCATTTTTTTCATTACATTACATTAATTTTCTCTTCCTCTTCGTTTCAACCACACATTCATCAAATAAAATAATATTACACACAAATCTAAATTTTTTCATTACTTTTCTACCACACATTCTCCCATCAATCACTATTCCAAAAATTTTCAACACCCCAAAATGGGGGCCAAACAGGGGCTAAATGTGCGAGTTGCTTTTGTAACTTAAAATCTTTAAATTTTTTCATCTTGAATTTTGGTTGCACATTAGTAGATTTTGAATTCCGAGTACTATTAATATTGCAAAATAGTTTCCCTCGCAAGGAAATGTAAATCTGAATTCTAAGAAAATATGTGAGTTAACAATTTTCAATATGGAAGTAAGACAGAACTCAGTCAATATACGAACAAATCTTTGAATTGAAGTTATAAAACCTTGCAAACTCGTGCAAATATCTGTTCCTATAGATATCAAGGCATTTCTATTCTCAGATGCATCGGCAAAAATATAAGGTAATAGTTGCAATAATAACAAATGCAACGACGGCCGAACAGAAATCAATCATGGTACATTTCCGAGGTATTATCAAATAAAATTGAACGGTACGATAAATAATATTTTAACTTCTTTTTCTGTTTTAGACATACAACACTTTTCAATTCACATTCCCATACATAGCATCAAGTTTTCCGAGGAAGCAATAATTAAAGAAGTCAACTCGCAATACGATAGAATCCAGATACTTGCAGTGGCAGAGCCACATGGTGATATTTAAATTTTTCTCAATTTATATTTAGTGTCTGTTTGTCAACCATTATGAGAAGAAAATGGTGTAATGAATAGTATTTTTTTAAAAATGTGTGGTTGAAATTGAAAGAAACTTTATCGATTTATGTGTAGAATATTTTATTATTTGAATGTGTGGTAGAGATTGATTATTGTACAAAACATTTTTTTGAAAAATGATAGAGAAACAATGGCTGAATTTGTATAGAAACCTTTCTATACGTACGTAATACATATATATTTTGAGTCTCCAACGTTTTTTAACCTCCTGCGTGAAAATGTTAGCTTCACCGCTTATCATACCTGGTAGCCAAGACAAAAATGGCCTCCGATCCCAAGAAATTTTCACCAACATTCCATGTTATCATGACTGGTTATGATTAGCAGACAAAGCGCTTTACCTCCATCATCTCCTGCGAGGTCTTAAATATCGACATGCGGTATCCTGAAGTGCCTGACAGGATTTGAACCTAAGGATGCACTGTCTCCACAGCCTCAAGATTTCACGATTTACCTTCTTTGCCTGCAAGGACTACAGAGACACCATGCTTTGTTCTTACCTTTGCATCCACTTCATCTTTAGAAAGCTAATGCTTAAGATGAGAAGAACATGGATTTTACTCCTTATTTTCTTTGTATCGATCATATTAGTAGCATCTCAACAGCATTACGCCATTCATGTCAACGTTCAAGAAACAGAATTGGGTAAAGTTATGATAGTTTTGAAATCGGTGTATTTTCCTGTATCATCAGTACAAGCTTTATATAGGAAATATCTATATAACAAACTAATTACTAATCCAAATATTGAGCTGTGCATCTGATCATTAAGCTAATCTTCTCAACAGACATAAAAAGTAGGTTATTCAAAGAGTTTAGCATTGGTTGTTGTATCTGACTCATCCAACATCCCCTCAAATTCAGACTAGATTGATCTTTGACTCTGAATTTGTTCCTCAAAGCTAGTAACCGTGTACCGGAAACAGATTACTGGTGTTTTACACAAAGGAACTTTCAATTCACGCAATACAGATCTGATCCATGTAAGTTCCACGACTACATTTGTACTCCGCTTCAGTACTAGATCTTGATACAATATGTTGTTCCTTAGAGTGCCATGATACTAGATTCCTTCACATGCAATAGCTAGATGTTGAGCGCCAGTCATTGAGATTTGAGGACCAATCTGAATCACAGAAGCTGTACAAATCTAGATTTGGAAACGTTCTCAGATGCAGGCCATAAGCTGAAGTTCCTGATGTAGGATGGATTAAGATTTCAGCATAGAATTTATAAGCAGCATAAGATAAGCAGAAGAAAAAGTAGGCAGCAAGAAAATGGGAGAAACCGAAGAGAAATGGGGTTGGAGAACTGGAGAAGAAACAGGGGGAAAAGAGAGAAATCAGGGAAAGGGGAAGAAAACTTGATACATAAGCATATTCATTTCAATTCATTCATTAATTGAACTTCCAAATTTACATTACAAGACAAATAGAGAAAAATAAGTAAACCTAGAGAGAAAGGGGCTTGGGCCAAACCCATATACAAGACCAATTAAAACTAATAAAGCATAAATAAAGATAGTCCAAAAGTAGGAGTCCAAAGTAGGTGATATCCTCATCAACTCTTCAAGGGTGGGGGAAAAAACTCGACTCTGTCGAGTGGATAAATCATGAACGACAGCAGTCAACCTCTCAATCATCAACAAAAGTGATTGAACTCATGCCATGGTGGACGATCTTTCCTAAGAACCAAATATCGAAATTCCATTATTGAAAGCAATGAAAACTGTACCTTATTCCAAGAATATGATCCGACCAAGAAGGATGGCCTCTCCTTCTAATCAAGTACCGATACAAGACTCCAAATAACAAATACTCACACAACTCATCTTTAAAATCTTCATTTGATTGTGCATAATAAAGAACAAGAGAAGTTAACATTGGAGACTAGTCTGTAGAGAAAAATGATTGCAATATCGATACTCAAATGAGCCCCGATTAAGAAACAATTCTTCTACATTGAAAACTTTCATTTTAAGTGAGATCGCATTACGAGACTCAAACGAGTCAAACAATGCCCCAATCACGATTGTTAAATTGGCACGGCTACATTGGCAAAGCAACAACTGAATTGTCTAAGTGAATGTGTCAATCAAAAGGAACAGAAAAAGGTCACCTGCAAATAATATCAAAAGATTCTCTCTTATTTTCACTTTTTTTTCTTTTCTTTTCTTTTTTCTCTTTAACAAAAATCAATTACACTTCTTAAATAAACAATAAAACACATTGCATAACCAAATCCAAAAGTACCAAACTAGAGGCAGATACGTTTGACTAGAGATGTCAGTTATTTTCTTTTCATTAGT